CTACTTATTTGTTGAGTGAGGAGGATCTGAGGACAGTGGGAGTGTGGCTCATTGGACAAAGGACCAGAAGTCCTAGGACTTAGCCTCCCTGCTGCTGCTAACTCTTTGGGTGGCATGTCTTTTCCTTCTCTTAAGAGTCACTTGCCTCATCTTAAGTTGGATTTAGCCTTCATGCACAAGAAGCCAATTGAATAAAAATAAGCTCATTACTAAGGAACATTGGGATCCACATTAACTCATTAAAAATTAGTAAATCTTTTTCAAACTTGAAACATTATCTTTAATAACAAATTATTTTTGACAAACTTCACACCTGTTCTGTGACATACTACTGAAAACATTTGAGCTAGAAGTTCTAATGCTCCTTTGAGCTTAAAAAAATCCTCATGATTTTCTTTCTGTCATCCTTATTTCAGGTCTTAAACATTATAATTGTATAAATCCATTTACACAAAGAGGATGAGTAATTTCTGGTAGTCCTTATGTGGTAACAGATTGTCTCTAAAAATACAATTTATGGAGTGCTCACTGTGTGCTGAACACTTGAGCATATGCTGTGCACATCTAACACAAATCCACAAGTGTTCCTGAAGGCCAAGTGTGTGCCTAGCAGTGAGGCAAGATGCTGGAGAAAAGTGGAAATCTTATTAGCCACCAAATACAGAGTGAAACAAGATATACTCTCCAAATGAAGCATGGTGCTTATCCTCAGGGAATTTATAACCACATTGAAAAAAATGAGCTATTTTTCCTTAAAAGGGATACGGGAAGGCAGGATAAAAAAATAAAAAGTTCAGTAGAGACTAGATTGGCATTATCTGAGAAAGCTGCATGGAGCAGGCAGGACATGTAGACAGCCTTGAATTGAGGAAAGACTTATGAAGTCAGCAAGGTCAAAAATGTAAATGCGAGAATAAGCAGAGGGGATGGGGTTGTGGCTCACTGGCAGAGTGTTTGCCTAGCACATGTGAGGCACTGGGTTAGATCCTCAGCACCACATAAAAATAAATAAACAAAATAAATAAATAAAATAAAGGTATTGTGTTCATCCATAAATATACATATATGTATGAATATATATAAAATATATAAAAATAATTTATATATATACAAATTATATATAATAGATATAAAAATAATTTGTATATAAAATTAGAGCATATGAATAATTTACATATATGCAAATTATTTATATATATGCAAAATTGAGAAGCCAGAATAAGAAGTTCAGACTTGATTCCATAAATCATGGAATACTTTTCAAGCAAAACAAAAATTATAGAACTATTAATATCAAATAGCACCTTATACAGTTATTTCACATGCTTTTTAATGTTAATCCTTGTAATCACTGCTTGATATTGGAAACTGAGGTTCAGGGAGTTTGTGTGCTAGCACCAATGACCTATTAACTCTGGGGAGAGGCCAGCTTGTTCAGCAAGAGTCAGCACATAGTTGAAGAGCAGGCCCTCTGATGCCAGCATGCTGAGATTTGAAACCCAGCTCTGCCACTAACCAGTTGTGTGATGTTGAGCAATTCATTAAACTTCTCTGGGCTTCAGTTTCCTTACCTGAAACAAGAAGGAAATGATCATCTTTGTCTTACACAGCAGTTATGTAGGTCAATGAGTTAATATCTGAAAAATAAAACATATTTGTCATACAAAACAAAAAGTGAGAAATGTATCACTTGAAACCAGTTGTGACTGAGTTTGTCTCATTCCCTTCCATTCCTGGTATCACTGAATCAACTGAGAACCTATAGGTCATCTGGAAAAAAAAGTGATTTGAGCACTTGAGAAGAGAGGTGACTGGGATCCAGGAAGCTGCTTGCTTCCTATTTGGGATAAAGGAAGCAAGCCCCTTTGTTTACACAATTGGAAAGATGAAGACAGGGGACCCTCTTCCTATGTTCAACCACAGGGGGTCTACAAGCTGAGAGTACAGATTGATCATTTAGAGAGCCAATATTTTATAAACATGTCCACCTTTTGTCATGAGCAGATCCTTAACATAATGATAATCATATTTTCTACTAAAATGCATAAGGCAAAATGAGCAAAACATGCAGGACTTTTCTTCATGGATTCTCAGGAGAAAGAGCCTTGAAGAGGATAGGAGGAACCTGAGGCCATCTGGAGAGGAATTTCAGGCATAAGCCACCCAGATCTTATGTATGTGCGGAGCCACTGTCACAGCTGCAGAGGAGCTCAAGCTTAAGAGTGTCTGGCACTTGTTTTTTTTTTTTTTTAATTTTTTAAATTGTAGATGGACACAATACCTTTATTGTATTTGTTTATATGTGGTATTGAGAATCAAACCCAGTACCTCACACATGCTAGGCAAGCACCCTACTACTGAGCTACAGCCCCAGCCTTGGCACTTGGTTTTGATGCTCTACTGCTCTAATGGTCCTTGAAATTGTGAATCAATTTTAAACAGGGGACTCTGAATTTTCATTCTGCACTGGGCCTCTGAAGTTATATATAAACCTCTGGAGTCTGTAGCACCAGTGATTCAAATAACTTGCCAAAAATTCCTCTGGCCTAAGGCAGATGTGTCTCTAGTAGGACCACTGTTTTATGAACATCCCACAACATGTTTTTTTTTTTTTTCTAATTACCTGAATCTTATTACGTTGTCCTGGCATATGAGGTCCCAAACTAAATGAAAGTATGGATACTCATCCTTTTAAGCCCTCCTTATTTATATTTTACATCTTTTTAGTTCATTCAGAATGTGTGTGTGTGTGTGTGTGTAAGAAAAATAAAAGCATACAGTGCTAATGCTGCAGTAATTGGGGGAATGCCATGTCTCTCCATGTCTCTGTTCTGCACACACCCTGTTGTTATCTCCGCAGTGTATTGCTGGTAAGAGAAGTCAGATGATTTTGCAGTGTGAGAAGAGCAATTTGGTTTTTGTAGGGCAGGTAAAAAAATGGCTTGGTATGATTTAAGTACACTGCATAGGAAAGAAATTTTGTACATTCAAAAAACTCTTCACTTACCTCTATCAACTAAGCTGTGGCCACAAGAACAACTCCCAGAGGGCCAGATTTTATTCATCAAAACTGCCCTAAAAAGAAAGGAAAAATAATTTCATCCATATAAGACCATCAAGAAATAAAAACATACTGAAGAGAAAGGAACCTGGAAAAGTTGACACATAAGTTAGAGTAGGGGTAGAAATGATGAAATCCTGATTCACAGGATTTCACAGGATCAGGATATTGCCATTATATTCTATTACATAATTATAAATAACATTGTTTCAAAAAGGTTTTGAAGACTTCTATTCAATGGCACCTGGATAAGTTTCCACAGTTATTCCTAGAAAAACTCCTTAAATAGAAAATTAGAAAGGTCATAGGATGACAGCATTGTACAAGCAAAAACTCCCTGATCCCCCATGCACAGATTTCTATCAAGCTTTGTCTGGACATAGGAGGAGCTTCTAGGCACACCTCAGAGCTGCCTCTGAAGTATTCAGAAACTATGGACCACATATCAGTCTTCTGTGTACACCTGACCAACAAACCATGGGTCTTATTTAGAAAAAACATGGATGAGTTGTAGGGACAACAATGACTTTAAATGGTGTATCTGGTCTTTCTGACCCCAATACACATTAGTTACTGAAGTGCTGAATCTGTTGTGTGACATAGAAAGTTCAGGTTTTATGTAAGGCTCAAGACTTAAGGCTTATATCTATTTTTTAAATAGAAAACATACCACTCATTGCCTATTGGTTTGTTAGCCTGACAAAATCCCAAGTGATGTAGAAGCCCTGAGCCTGCAGAAGAGAGCTCTACAACTTCTGGCTGTATTATTCCTTCAAGCCTAGAAGGGTAGATAGATTCAGGTACCAAAAACCTTTCTAATCCTGCTCTGAGACAGGTCAGTTGGCTGCAGGTTCAGAAAGCTCTGCTTTGCAACTGCAAAAGTTGCTGAATCACAGTAAAGAGCTAGACTATGACTTATAAAACTTCTAGCATTATCTGTTTCACTTTATTTCTTTTTCCTACTAAGGCTAGTGTTATTGAAATCCATGCATGATTGCTACAGACAATCAAACCAAGTAATCATTATGGAAGTAAATTTTAAAAGCTGATTTGGTAAATAAATACTCAGTTCTCAGGTTTAATTCTTAAATAGACAAGTCAAGAATTCTCCAAAATTACTTTTTGTTATCCCTAGAGATAACTGCTGTGTAGGGGCTGGGGTTGTGGCTCAGTGATACAGCACTCACCTAGCACATGCGAGGCACTGGGTTCAATCCTCAGCACCACATAAAAATAAAATAAAGGTATTGTGTCCAACTACAGCTAAAATAAAATATTTTTAAAAAACTTTGCTGTATTAACTTTTTAAAAAACACAAAATGTTTGATATTTCCAAAGGCTTGTTTATTTTTTTCCCTATAAGGTGTAAAGACATCAAAGTCTCCCTAAATCTGTCATTTACCTAAGACAAAAATGGTCCTCAGACTAGATATGATTAAAAAATTCATGATTCTGTGTCTTAATTTTAAAATTTTGCTGTGAAGGCTGGGGTCATAGGTCAGTGTTAGAACACTCACCTAGTATGTATGAGGCCCTAGGAGCAAAAGCAAACAAACAAAAACCCAACAGCAACAACAAAAAACAACCCCCAAACCCAAAATTGTACCATAAAGCTGGATGTGGTGGCACATGCCTATAATCCCAGCTACTCAGGGGGCTGACACAGAAGAATCTTAAGTTTGAGGCCTGCTTAGGCAACTTAATGAGACAATGTCTCAAAATATTTTTTTTAAAAAAATGAGAGCTGGGGAATTTAGATAATTAGTAGAGCACTTTCCTAGCATGCTCAAGGACCTGGGTTCAAAAAAGATTGCTTTGAGATTCAAATTATGCCAAAGCCAACATGTCTATTAGATTTTAGATGACAGAATTTTCCACAATTTTGTAAATTGAAGAAATAATTCTTACCTTCTTCCTGCAATTTAGATTTGCTTTTCCCAGCCAGACGAGTAATGTGCTGATATTGTAACAAGATTTGAGGAAAACACATCTCACAGGCTGTTGTAAAATCCCAATAATCATGCTTAGGAGTCAGAAAAAGATCTAGCAATTTAGTTTTAAAACACTACATACATGATCCTTCTAAATATCACCTGATCTTCACAAGATTATGAAAATCAAGAACAATTAACATGAAAATATATTTCTTTTCACTTTTCAGAGAAAACCAGAAGTATGGATGAAAGTATTAAATGTTTTGTTTTCATATAGTAAACATGATTAAGAACAGGAGGGTGGAAGGGTATTGAAATGTGGGCTATCACCTTATTGTCTCCAGGGACAAAGAAAAGAACTTTTCAGTCCCAGCTATTATGCAACAAAACGTTTTTTCAACATTCTTGTTCATAATGTTTCCTGGAGTGGAACGTCTGTCTTCAAAAGGTTTAAGCTAATGCCCATACATGCCCACTTAAAAAATACTTTCCATTTATTACATTTCCTTTTCCCAGACCTCTGGTAAACTTAAGAGGCCTCATTATACTATATGGAAATAGAGAGATTCCCAAATGGAAAAGAACTGTTTTGGATGCTAATGTCCATAGCAGAAGGAAATAATTAACTCATTAACTCATTCATTCATTCATGTAACAAACATTTATTAAACACTATACAAAACTCCAGCTATAATCCTCAAGGAGTTCCCAATCAAGTGGTGCAGAAAGTCATGCATCGAACGAATACTAATGTAGCATTGTAAATATTCACGAAAAAAAAAAAAAAAAGGGATATACAGGGTGCACCAGGAATGGAGAGAAGGCAGCCATTGGTTCACTCGGGGTAGGAAGACCTAGTGAAAGCTGTCTTAGAGCTAGATGTAGAGGGATGGATAGAATCTTGGCTGGAAAAGTTGGATAAGGAAACAGCAGACTGAAAAAAACATAGATATACTGCATGTTTGTATAAATATGTCAAAATATACTCTACCGTCATGTATATATCTACAATGAACAAATGAAATCTTAAAAAATAGAGTGATTGACAACAGAAACAAAAGGCCTATGCAAGAGTGGAGTGATTTGCTTTTGGAGGTGTTAACTCTAACCTAGGGTGTAAGGGGACAGCAGCAAGGATGAGCCTGACTTGGTAGGCTGAAGGCAATCCATAAAGGCAAACTAAGGAGATCATAGGCAATGTGGCTTTGAGCGGTGTAGCAGCATGATCAAGTCTGTATTTAGAAAAATCATTTTGGTGTTCTGGATAATGGACTAGAGTGAGGAGAAGATAGAAGTGAAAAGAATAACTTAGAAGTTAAAACAGATGCTGGAGCATCTGAAACTGGGGCACAGGAACCCTAATGAGAAAGGGAGGTAAGGAGTTAGACAATCTATTGCTATGTTTGCATCATAAGCAAAAAGGACTCAAATCTTTCTAGAATCTTGTATGCTGCTATCACATAGAATACTTGCATATAGTTAACACTTCATATGAAAAGCATTTATTCAGCCTATATTCCATTTTTGCAGAATCCCAAAGTATTTATGAGAAGTACAGATAACCTCACTTCTTCATATGCACTGAAGGTTTTTGAAGATAAAGATCTTGCTTCAAAAAATGATGACCATACTTAACAACACAAACATCTAGACATGCCCTAATTAGTAAATATGCTAACAGTTCCCCTGTATAATTAGCATTGTTCAGTATGGACATGTACTTGGTGGCTACGTGAGAACATAAATCCTATAAGGAATATAGAAATTCTGTAACATGTGTTTATTATACAACAGATTATTTTTTAGAGAGATAGTCAATATAATTTAGATGTCAGTCATGTCTTATACACAGCAATAATCAGAAAAGCATTTGAGACGCATAATTTAGTTACAAATTATATTTGATTCTTAATTTTGTTATTTAAAGGGGGTTTTTTATATTGAAAGGGGATTTCCTATCTAGGTCTATCACCATTGCTTCACTAAATGATCCCATAATATATTAATTAAGCCATTAAATCAATACCCAAGTACCTACCCATTGCTAAGAACTGGAATCCTGAGTGAACAAGTCAGACAGGATAGTTACCCTTGTAAAGATCAGGGAGATAATGCACAAATGCTGCCTAGTAATATGTTCTTCTCAGTTTGGTTTGGAATCAAAGCAACACAACTCTCCAAGGAACTCATACAATAATCATTTGTTCACTCATTCACCTGGTATTTATTAGGTACCTCCTTTATGCTAGATATTATGCCTGATGCTGGGTGCAGTGGTAAATAAAATAGATGAGGTTTGTGCTCTCCCGGAGCTTTCTATCACCTAGTGAGTACTTAAAGTACAATGTGCTGAGTGCTAAGGTGGGGTGAATTACAGAGGGAAAGTTCCCAGCATGTGGTGTGCCCTCAAGATGTGTGTGTGTGTGTGTGTATGTGTGCATGTGTGTGTCTGTGTGTGCGTGTGTGTGTGTGTGTGTGAGTGAGAGAGAGAGAGAGAGAGAGAGAGAGAGAGAGAGAGAGAGAATGAGAGAGGAGAGACAAACTGGGAGAGAGAAGTAAAGATATGCTCATCTCAGTTCCACCTAAATATAATCACATTCTCTCAGTGATCTATGAAGTGAAATAAAAGAATGAAACAATAAGAGAATGAAACAGGAGACAGGCAAAAGAAACATGCTTGTTATACCTCCTTCCTGAAGCCTTCCCTAATTCCTCTAAATGGAGGTGAATTCAAAGTAATTATTGCTCCCTATTCTCAAGAATTTCTTCCAATTTGTGATCTTAATCTTGTTGCACATATCCTATATAATCAAAAAGAAACTTCCTATTCCTTTTGGATGAATTGGGGAAGAATCTTTTAAGATTTGTTCTTCCTAAATGTTCTTACAATAAAAGATCTAGTAGAATGTTATATAAAGACTGAAAAAAGATGAGGACCATAACCTGTTGAAGCTTCATTTCCTATGATTATTTATACTCCTTTTTCCTCACCTTTGCCTTCCATGTAATCAGCCTCATCCTGTAACTCGCTGGAAAGATGCTGATTACATACAAGTCACAGGGTAATTTACCCTTTTGACCTTCCTTGAGCTCTTATAAATCTCTCTACTGCTGGGAGGCCAGGGTTTTGTTCTTCCCTCAGCAACAAAGGCTTGTTGCTTTATAAAGCTGCCTCACACAGTAGCAGCAAAGAAACAGTGAAAACTGTGTGTGAGACTGCTGGGGGAGGGTTGTCTGTGACCTTGGCCTTTCTGAGAATGTGGGGAGGAGGACCATTTCCCATTTTCCCAGTGTTCACAGCCCTAATCATGCCAGAAGCAACGTTGGTGACAAATTGGAATGAAGTTATCAGCTGTGAGTGTAAAATGAGGAGGTTGGACCAGTTGATCTCAAAAGCTCCTTCCGGCTCTCATGTTTCAGGATTCTAAATATGTTTGAAGCGTGATAACTCGAAGAGAAAATTGAATAGGGTAGTGAATTAGGCCTATGTGTGAGAAGCACCATGGTGGATACAGCCATTCACAAATCACAACCATGGACAGCCTCTCCTGAACCCAGATGTCAAACAGGGAAGATTCAGTCTGAGTTGTGTTAAAATAAACACGGACAGCCTGACCACCATACTAACTAAAATGGGGGTTCTCTGACCTCCAATAGAAGGTATGCAGAGAGGAAAATAATTTCAGCATTTGGTTTATATAAGTCTGGGGACCTTTTTCAGCTTTGTAATCACACAGCTGTTTACAAAATGCTTTACATTCAAGATCTGGGGGAGGGGATTCTGAAAACGTTTTTGAGAGTCTCCCTGGTGATTTCATTCAGCTGATACCTGCTTTTCTCCTGCATTCTGCTTAGGACACTGTTAGAATTCCTTCTTTTTGTTTCCTATGATCAGTCAGCATCATCCTAATTGCTCCCGTTCTTTTTTCTCATTCCTCTTCCTGTGTTAATTGAAATATGTGAAGCTGAGTCCTCTTACAATTTGACCTACTTTGATAAGATCTCTCTGAGAAGCATATATCTTGAGCAAATGGGTATATTTAATTCTTTTGATTAATCCAATATGGACAAACATTCTTCTTAAAGCAAGTAATAATAACGATTATGTAGCATTTAGTTTGTACTACACAATAGTCTAAGTGCTTTACATGCATTAATTCATGCCATGTTCACAGCCATCCAATGACTGAGCTCAAGTGCACAGTGAATGCAAGGATGTACGTACATCATTGTATTTTTCCTCTGAGCTGGTTTGTATTTGTGGTTTTTACTTTTCGTTTGGAGTTCTGAGAAAAACACAGAAATTTCCCTCACCGGTTTATTTTTCTCCTCTCCTACCATGGCATTCAGCTATGACCTGGCAGCCTTTTTATGTCCCCAAAATATTCTGGCAGTGCCAAATGCCCAAGAAGTCATGCTATTGGAAGCAAGAGCAATGGTTGGCCCTGAAGAGTACCAGTTTGATTGACTGTGGGCTTCAAAAGGGACAGAGGTTTTGTTGTTCCCATTTGCAAATTACTTAGGGAGATAGACCACTGAGCAAGAGATCCCTTGTCAAAGAGATATGGAGAATATTTGTACTCCAAGTTGCCTGAGAGCAAGTTTTCCCTGCAAGCCACACACTACTCTAGCTATTTCTCCCAAGGTATGTGATGGTAGCCTTGGAGTGATGTAGTGTTTCAGGGAAGTTACCCAGTATAAGATAAGATCCTGGAAAAATGGAAACAATTTTTTTTTTTTTTAGTTTCTGGGAAGGATTTTTGGCAATCTGCATCCTTCTTATGGTCTTACCAAGCAGTTTATTAAAAGCACTTGTATTAATGCAACGTTTATAAAAAGCCCAGATGGCTGATGGGGTTTGATATCCAGGCCTGCACAGTCACTAGGAAACTGAGAGGAAACACTACCATCATTTTAAGACACTAATAGTTTCTAACCTCTGCTCAGACTTCAGTGAGAGCTTTGGAAGATGAATTTGATTATCTAATTTACTTTGGCAACCAGAGCATTAGGCTTTGTCCTGCCAGGGAGTAGCATGAAATGCTGGTGGTTGTATGTTCTAATGAGGTTTTCCTTATGATTATGATTCCCTCCTACCTACCCTCCCTC